TGTATGTATGTATGTATGTATGTATGTATGTATGTATGTATGTATGTCAGCACAACTGGGATCTTCTTGACATGCTAGTTTGCTAGTTTGTTTTAATAAAACATCAGCTGCTGCTTTTTTGTAAGACACAGCTAGAAAAACATAGGAGGTGGAATGTTCAGCAAGGGTCTGTTCAGCCTCATTACAAAAGACGAGCCTTTAAAAGGCAGTCTAGGTAGCAAAGGGCTGTGAGTACTGAATGAGGCTGGTTACATGCTTAATGTTAACATCAAAAGCAATCATTCGGATATCAGCCGGTTCTTTTATTCAACTGTGAGTCTGTGTGAGTGTCTCTGATGATGCCCTAGGCTCTGTTCTGTGGTTTGTCTTTGAGGAGGCTCTTTGTGGATAAATTAGTTTATGAAAGGTATCCAGGGGGCATTTTTGGTCTTATGAAGTGTCTGATGTACATCAGTGTATGTCCATCCACCAATTTTCGTAACCGCTTATTTCCTATTGGGGTCGCGGGGCCTATCCCAGTAGTCTATGGGTGAGAGGCGGGGTACAGCCTGGATGGTCCACCAGTCCATCGCAGGGCCACACAGAGACACACAAGGACAAACAACCACTCACACTCACTCCTAAGGGCAATTTGAATGTCCAGTCAACCTAACATGCAGGTTTTTGGGCGGTGGGAGGAAGCCGGAGAACCCGGAGAGAACCCACGCAGACACAGGGAGAACATGCAAAGTCCACTCCTGGTTTCCCTGGGGACAACTCTGCCACCGATATATATAAACATACATCTGTTAGAAAATCCTTACCTGCTATTTCTTCAATGCTGTCAGCATGCATGTCGAGCAGAACGCTGCCATTTATAATGCAGCTGCGGAGCTCAAACAAGCTGTGCAGGGAAAGTGTAGCAACGTAAGGCTTGCTCCATCTCTCCCCACCGTCTTCCACATCCTCCTCAAACTTCAGCCATCTGCCCGGTAAAGTCAAGAAAACCATTAGAACTTCATGTACAAAGTTTAAACAAAACAATCTATGTTTGATCTTCCTTCTGATTTTTTTTTCCATAAAAACATAAAGCTAACTTATTATTATAGAAACTTGATAAAAACAGCGGCTGCAGGTGATCAGTACTGAATACGATTAATACAGAAAAAATATATGTATCTTCATACTATTACTGGACATAGTTTTAGAATAGTCAATATCAATAACATGAAAAAAGCTTCTAAATAAATGATACAGACGCATGTTGAAGACATGCATTTCTTATGAAAGTATGTAAGTGTGTGTCTGAAGGACTGCCAGGTTGCCAAAAGTTTAATGCTTAGCATGACGGAGATCCAGACCTGGCTGTTTCTTTCCACTCTGCATCCTTGCCCTCTTTCACACAGATCTCATCCAGCTCAGTGAACAATTCGTGGGACACATGTTCAGCGTCCTCCTCTGTACCAAGGATGAACTGAACCCGCTGGGAGGGTGTATCTGTTGGAGTGAGGAAATGTGAGGAGATGGAGAGAGGTGAACTGATGTTCTCACGAAAAAGACATGACACATAGAAGGATTCTTGCTTTGTCATTATATCTCTTTAAAATAGGCACACACACACACACATACCAACACAGTGACCAGTTCCTGGTCTTTGTAGGCTAATTAGTAGCATGTCGATTTGAGCCTGGAGTACTGCATGAGTCAGTGAATGTGTGGAAAAAGCCACAGCATTGACAGAGCTAGTCTAACCACCTCTCCCTTCCCTCTGGGAGCAGCTTGAGCAGGTCTAAGTGCAGTGTATGAGCTTTAAAAAGCATGTTAAAGCTTGGCATTTCTTCAAAATGGGTTCATTCTAAGAAGATGTTCAGTGTGTGCTAAACTGCTACCATGACTGCAGGCGGTCGTGTCGTAATCCTCGCTTTGTTGTGTTACGATGCTTTCTGATCTCTTGTCTCTCTTGCGGTGGCGGGATCCATGGGGCCTGTGGTGGCGATGGCTCTGCCTGGGCATCCGAACCCCCACAAACAGAGTCCTGTGGCCTAAAAAGACAAGGAACAACTGGATGTGACATAATTCACAGCTTCTGACTCTATACATTTTTTTATATGTTGTAGTTTGGTCCACTATTTAAAAGTAGCTGTTTTTCATTTGATTTCAAGTTGTCTTTATTTGTCAGTTGCTCAGTAGAGGGAGTTTAGTCACTGTTCCATTATTACGGTAATTATCCATTAATAATACCAATCTATTAAAATAAGTATTTATATTTTTTTGTCTTTAGATGAACCTTTAGCCATTCTAAGCTTTTTATATAATACATTTATTACATATTCTTTCAAATGGAAAATACAGTTAGAGCCAAGGAACACAGGTTTTCTGTTATCTTTTTTAAGGTAACAGTTAATTATTGGATTTGGCAATCATAAATAATGGCTTCATCCTTTCATTAGCCTCAAAATGATTAATGAGCTTTTATCTCTTTAATCAGGTCATTCTAAAAAATGTGTGAATATTAAATTCTATGCTTGTTCTTGTGTTATTTACCCGGTGTCAGCCCTCCCTTGTGGGTGCATGAGCCAGTGTTGTGTTACCTGCATGCCTATTTCATGTTACCCTCCCCTTGCTGGTATAGCCATTTAAATTAAATTAGGGTGAAACTGCTATCGTCAAACACTGAATGGAAAAAGAGGAACAGGAAAGACTTGAGTAGAGCCTCGTCCCTCGATCAGCAGTTAATGGAGACTGAAAGTGAAAGTAATTTATCTGAAGTTTAGGTGTTGGCTTGAGGCTCCACAGGGAGATGCAGGGGAACAACACCCTTCTTGCTGCTTTCACTGACACAATAGACTGAACTCCTGCCATCTGTAATTATCATCAGAGGACTCAACTATGAATGCAACATGCTGCGATAACAAAGGGGTGGACGCATTTGATACTGACAGTAATGGAGTGAGCAAGAGCATAGAAGGAGACAGTACTAAATTAAGCTGTGAAAAGTTCAATCTTCTAAGTGTGTGTTCGGCAAAGCAAAGGGCCTTGACACAAAAACATAATTGGTATCCTTCTGAGGACATTGACATAGTGTATTTCTTTGAACATCATGACATAGTATAGTTACAAGTATTTTATCATTGAATATACTGTCTTTCCACAAGCACAATTTTCATACCCATATTTTTCCTTAAGTACTTATATTGTATATTGCAGAATAAAGTAAAACACAATACAATCTAGCAGAGTACTGTTTCTAAATGTTAAAGTTACCTACCTTCTAGTTCCTCCTTTTCATAGTGAATGTTCATCACTGAGCTGGTTCCTCCCTGGTCCACCACCACCTCTTCACCTGGACTCTGATGGACACACACAGACACACGAAAACAACATGGTGACATTATTTCCAATGTTCATCCTTCACTTGTAAATCACTTGTAAAGCACAACATATTGCTGCTTTTGTGACTCCATCTGGCCTGTATTCATACATAGGAATGCCTTTTAGGAAAAGGAATGCACCAGACGTGTTTCAGTGTTTAAAGATTTTGGTCATGCATGACTTGGAATTCTGTACTGTGTTCCCAGTTTTTGTTTTTAAAGACCAAATTTCCCTAAAATTTCAGAACAACTTCAGATGCCTAAATCCAAAACTAAATTGTATTATTTTCATCTGGAGTAACACCACATAAAAGAGTGCAAAAATATGGTAGCAGACACGCTATTCTGTGGCCCTGTGATGTCCTACATACAAGTGGTGGCTCTTTAAAAGGATTGCTCCGTTAGGTAAGTAATTTTTTTTTGTCTTCGTAGTGCGAAGTGGTTCCAAATGGAACTCCCATATTTATGGGTGGGAGCTGAACACCCGCGCCCACAGTGGTTGCTGGGCATAGTAGACGTGGATGGGTTGTCCTATACCGTGAAGACCTGGACACAGTGTCCTAAGTACAAAAAGAACCACAGCTGCTTTCTGATGGGCTCAAAAAGGGAGACAGTTCTTTCTGAGACAACACTTCATTGTTGGGTCAAAAACAATTTCCAGAAGAGCTCAGTAATTTGATTTAATTCTTACATAACTTTATGACTTTGGTGTTGCCTCCCGTTTGTTGTAATGACTTCGAGTCAGCTGTGACGCACCTCTCACAATCCTCTGTCTCAAGCAGTTACACAGTTACTTTGGAAACTTTAATCACTTTCATTCCAACATTAGACCTGAAAGGAGACATTCCCAACTCTGCATTTGAGCCTCTACCAGCCCAACAGGACAGAGACCTTTTAATTATTAGAATCAAATTCCAGACAGTCTATTCTCAGATTGTCTGGTATGGACACACATACTGAAAAGGGACATTGGACCACAAACACACACATATACAAATACACACGCCTGAGACAGACAAAGTATGAGTCAGTTGGAGATGGTGAAAGGCTGTACTATCTAGGGTGGATCAAATCAAATTAACAGGGTGCCACATCCATCAGTGAGCTGCTGTTGGTAATGTGCTGCAGGATGCTGCTCAAGATTTTACTATCTCAGAAACTAGCATTTCCAAAATACATTGTTTTTGCCCACACACTGCCCAGAGTCATACATTCATTCATCTATCCTATTATAACAAGTGCAGAGGTTCTGAAAGGACAGTGCTGCAGTGTCTCTTTGAGCATTTGTGCAAACCTTTTCCATTGCAATCTCTTTTGGACTCACACATGATTAAAAAAGAACCACAGATAGGGCCCACAGTGGTAGATCTGAGCTACAATCAATAATCAATAAAGAAGTTAAGTGTTGCCATGACTCATGGGAATGACAGCTCTTTCAATATAAGTAACATATGTCTCATCAATACAAATGAAGGAAGTAAAAAAACTGTACAAAAAGTCACTTTAAAAGCAATTTCAATAGATTTTTTTTCATACAACTGTAGCTGGACTTATTAAACAAGGCATGCTGTTGAGGGTAAGTTGTCTTTTTAATTAAGCTTTCCAGTTCTCAAAAAGACATTTGCACTAAAACAGCTTATGTAGATGTGTTTGTGTATTACTGTTTGTGTATTACTGTGTATTACAGTCATGAAATGTCGTAAACAGATACAACCATTGGAACATGTCTGTGCTACCTATATATCTTTAACTGCCTCTACATTTATGCCAAACTGGAATACTTTATCTTCCATCACATTGCTGTAGCCTTTAGAAGTTTCTTAAAATCTGAAAGGGACAACATGTTGTCAAAGAAAACTGAACAGAAAAATGTAGTTGTGCTGTACAGATGAATGAAAATCATATCTGATTATAACCAAAACGTCCAATCGAACAACAAAAGTGTTTCTGTTTTACATATTGACACCCCTCCATTACACAACATGAGCTTGTCATTCACACAATCACAAAAATAACATCCACTGAGAACCCGAGTAACCGATTTATTTCATGGGTGTGCTTGGTCTGCTGTTGCCTTCACCATCTCTGTGCTTTGGGATTTTATTCTCTTTCCATGACTGAGCACTTTATTATCCCCAGACAGCTCTGTCCTTTAACAGAATAAGGCTTAGGAAGTCATACTAAGGCCAAACACTGAATATGAATCATGGTCTTATCCCTACATCTACAGATGAGATGAAAGTGCAGAGGTAGCAGAAAAGCCTTGCTTATATTTACAACTCTGCATGCTATAATAAATTCTAACATACTGTAATTTTTACTGCAAAAAAACAGCCTATAAAGCACTTCATCTTCAAGTAAAAGAACTACAGCTGCATGTATTGTGTATAAGATTCAAAATCCGTGTTTTAGATCACCATTTAAAGGAAAATATACATGCTTTAATTATCTGATTTATCTGATCTAATTCTCTATTATCTAGATTACAGTTAGTTATTTAATTAATTTCCTAATCTGTTTTGACAATTCTCTCAACGATGAAAAAAGGGGGGCTTTGATGATACATCAAAGGATGTGATGAATACATCTTTTTACATCAGCATTTAGATTCTAACATGCAACTGGTGGCTTCTGTTTCCATCAGTCATAATGTTAAAAAAAACTTGGTTAAAATACATTTTAAAATCTGTTATAATTAGTTATGGATAACAACTGATTAGGTCAAGTATGCATACTTAGTATGCATACAAAGTGACAAATATGGGAGGGATACAACAAAGTCCTTGCTGCATTTATGGAACCATGCATTATTGCAGTTTCCAATAAGAAATTTGGAATTAACTACAGACTTAATACATCTGGTTGTCCAGCAAACTGAGTGGCTGGGGATGATGGGAACCCTTCACTCTAACTTGTAGCCCACGATTCTCTCTCAAATACACAAAATGTGTTATCAGTCCTGAAGCTCTGCTGGCAAACTGCTGCATTATGTGTTTTAGGCTCTAGCTGGAGGCAGTTAGCGGCAACACAGCTGTAGATTTACCAACCAAAGAGTGACTCTGAAAGCTCTCTGTCCTAGAAAGAGTGATACACATTCAGATAGGATCAATCTGGATCCATTTGGTGCACACACATATAGCAAAGAAAGGAAAGCACTCTTTAACTATAAAGCCTATTGAGTGAGAAATAATCATAGGGAAAGAAGAGTAGTGTTTCAGAGAACAGGGGGCACATCCTAAAAACAAGAGACCAGATTAATCCACATCTATTGTTTGTCTGTTTGTTCTGCCATGAAAACGCTCTTGAAATTTCAATGTGACTCTCAGCCCACATTGGTGGGAGTCACAGTCCAGTTACAGCATTTCTCTAATGGCAAATTTGTTCCAGAAACTTTTTTTTAACTGGTTAATGGTTCCTTGTCATTCACATTTCACCCCCATTGTGTCACGTTAAGTACTTACGATGATTAAAGACTCACATGTCAAATTCAGGTTTAGTTTGCTCTCTGGGGCCGGGCACATCCACGACTCTTGAAACCCCTCTACGTGTCTGTGATTTTCCACTGCCAAGGAAAATAAAACCCTGTGTTGCTGGGCTGGTAGTTCCTACAACCTGGCAACAGTCACTCCTGTGTTTGCTCCTGTCCTATATCAGTGGCTGAATTTGGCTGGGTTATGACTCAATCCTTTTTCTACCAGATTAATGCTTTTGTACCACAGAATCAGCCCGCCCCAAGACCCCAAATGGCTGCCATCTCTGGAGGTTCTGCTTTTTATAAGTATATCTGTAGTTATCAGCTGTTGCAAGCTCATACTGGAGCTGCTTTGCTGCTGGCAAAAAAAACACATGATACTGATGACTAATAAAAACAACAACTCCATTCAATAAGACTGAAATCAAGAGCAAACAAAAGTAGCATACAAAATAATTTAGAAGATCTCGTTTTAGTAGTGCATCACAGACATTTGCAGCCTGACATAATCAGTTTACTTCCAAGACTACTTTTTTGCCGATTACTCAGTTTAGTTTGAATTTTCTGACATTTTTAGGAGGTTTTAGCATTCTGACTACAGTCAATGCAAAGGGTACAGCACAACTTTATGTAATTTTATCCAAGAATAAGAATGGATTTTAGACCATTTATTTCAATAATATGTTGGATTATGGATGATGATGGATTTCAATAAAGGTGACATTTCTTCTTAATTTCTTTGATGTTGCATTTCCATTATGACAAACTGAAGCAAAGTAACAAATCAAGTCTGATTACCTCATTATATTGGGGGCATTTATAGGTTTTTGTTTTTGCTCCCAACACAGATCTAGATGAAGAAGACTTTAGTGCCCTCGCCCTGAGTCTCAGCAAGTAACTGCCAAAAATAGAGAAGTGCTATCCCTCTCCTGTGTTTGATAGCTAGAGAGATTTGTGACATATTTTATGGCAGAGTAGATTGTCCTAGAAAGATGATAAACGGGTATTGAATAGTACAGTCACACACACTCTGTCCTATTTAGGATGATGACAAACATTCACACAGTCACACTATAAACATCACACAAGTTCAAACTGTGAAATTGATAATAATTAAGGAATGTATAATGTACAACAGCCTAAAACCAGAGGAGTCTTCCCTCATGAGTTGGCCTCTTTTTATGATTTAATATTTAATCTGGAACTAATTTTCACTTGAAATAAACTGACCTCCCACATCAAGTTTACGTACTTTGCAGTGGCTCTTTTTGGGCATTTTAATTCTATAAATATATACTTTATATACTATATATACATAACAAAGCAACAAAGTGAAAAACCAGTGAACTAGTCCTCGGTCTTAACAAGTAGGGCAGCAATGATTTGTGTCCCAGAGTTCTGACCGGACGGGGCAATCGATGTGCTGCACCACAATGATCTCCCAATCCATAAGACCCATGAAGGTTAGAATTCGACAAGCAGAGAACATAACTTGCTTGCAGCTCACTACTGAGAAGAACCAATCTGCAGGCAATACTTCTACTCAGAGTAATGTTTCTCCAACATTCATTTGTGGTGCTAGAACTGATATTTGTATATCTCAAAGCATTGCTCGATTTCTCACCTGTTTCCGTTAGATTGGTCTGTTTTGCCACCTTATCAGTGCCTCCTTCTCAGTTATGTTGAGCCAGCAGCATAAAACACTGAGTATCTACATTTCTAGCAACTGCAACAAATGTTTGAAATTAAAAATTGTGTACAACCACAATTACTGGATATTCTATCATGGTGATCGCCAAATGCCTCGTCGGAAGTCAGTGCTCTGGCAGTGATTTATCACTCCATTAGACCTGTTGCCACTGATTTTCAGTCTTGTTTTTGTGTCATTTTTCATTCCTCAGCTTTGTCTCTGTTAAGAGTCCCTCCTGACTCTATTCCACAAAGAGCATGTCTGATGAGGCTTCATCAAGCAGTAGGTTTATACATTTGTCCTCAACATGTACCATTTCAAAAATACTATTGTTTGAATTTTTCACATATGTAATTGAAACACACTATCTTTATGTGTTTATGATGGCTGCTGTTGCATAAATATGACTGATGAGGCAGCCGAAAAACAAAACATTGAAAAACCCTGAAGGAGAACCTTTACTGGAAATCACTGTAAGGAATTACAAGGAAGCTGATTCAAAAAGATCTATCTGTGATTGAGCAGCCCAATGGAATTGATAAGCAGTTTATGGCCGGACACACTGACCATTACATCTCTCCCTATAAAAAAGCTCCTGTTGAATAATTGTGTTAGGACAAATTTGCATCATCTTCATCGACTGCCTCTTTCCCTGTCATTATTTCCCAACACGTGAGTCACCCCATTTCCTCTTTGGAAGCCGACCCCTCTCACTCTGTCGCTGAAGCATCCGGAGCTGACAGTGGGGACATAGATTCTGACTCTGACAACTGGGATTGTCACTCCCGGATCAGGGTTTGTGTCTGAGAGCCAAGACTGGCACTTGGTGCCATTTCCTAAGGCTACAGCTGCCTCTTAGTATAGCACATCAACATCACCCATCTGCATTAGACAGAACTCCACTCACAGGAGTGGCCAAACCAGTACGTGTAAAAAGAAAATAAGAGGTGAATAGGGGATAGAGGAAGGGACAGAGATGGAGAAGACAGGATGAGAGGGACGGCTGTTTTGACTGCGTCAGCCCATGGGCAGCGTGAGTCATAGGCACCTTGTTAAATGCCATGTATACAAACCTGCCTCCTTGGAGCTGTCATTCTCTAATTGTTGCGTTTTTCACCAAATATCATAGCTGAATGAATGACCTTGTGCTTTGTTCATTGTAACATCAAACAAAAAAGTGCAGATGTGCTTTCAAAACCGACCAAAGAGACAAACACCCAAGTGTCTGTGTTTGGAAAAACTCGCTTAAACACTGGCATCAAGTGTATGGACAGCGATCAGTGAAGGTTGACAACTTGTTGGTGGAAAACAACAACAATGTGTTTAAAGAGAATTCGTTTGTGCTTTTCAGTCCGAAAAAAGTTACAAAATCAACTCTGAAGATTTCAGTTTGTTGTCCACAGATAGATTATGTACAAATGACGGAAATTCAAAACCATTGTTTCCCCCCCCAGGAGAGCTCTCCTGAAAAAACATTCAAAGATCAAGGCGTCCCTTGGTCTGTGAGGCCAGAATGAACTTAAGATAACTTTTATGCAACCACAGGTCTCACTCACAATGGCTAATGTTAATATCCTCAAGTCTACTAGTATGAGGTTAAAATAACACTGTGCAAGGCGGGACTGTAAAGAAGAAAGGCTTTGTTCTCCTTAAGCCACATTGCTGCCTGTATTTAGCCTGCAAAATATCACAAGGACAGGTCAGAAGGCACTTGGAAAATGTGTCTTTCACAGACGTGAAAATACAACATTTTGGTTTAAATCAGAAGCATTATGACTAAAAGACAAGTCATATGAGAATGAGTGAAATTAGTCTCATAAGTTGGGCAGATTTTTCCCCTACTAAGTCACGAGAGAATACAACAGAAATCAGATAACAAAACAATTAATTCAGTTGCACTCAGGGATGGTGAGAGAAGAGCAAAGCTTATGTTTTGTTGCAGTTATTTTTGCCCAAAGCGGGGGTCATTCACACCAAACACGAAAACCAACCGTTTGAATAGTTCCGTCACATACACATACAATTTTAGATAATTATCCTTTCTAAATAAGTAGTCGTGGGAAATACTTTTTCTAACTTGTTGATGTGGTTTTTTCTTTTTTTCCTGATGTTGTTGATGGGATATCTATGCATAAACAGACAAAACGATATGAAGATGAACAAACTTTCAGGCACCTACGGAGGCATCCCCTGCCTGGTGGGACCTTAGTGCATGCAGTCTACTTTGGATTGCTTCCACTAAATTGAACCTACTGATTGCAAGGCAAGCTTGGGACTGATGCCAAATAGCTGCTGTACAAACTGTGTGTGCAAAAACTGCATGCACACACCCATTTTGCAACATATCTTTGTCACAATAATGCACACTAGATATTTGAAAAACCGGAATCTAAAGCATTTGTTGCTTTATGTTTGGCCAAAAACTAAACGATAAATTGTTTTAAAACCTGCATTGTGTAAAATGGCAATACGCCAAAATGATTAATTTAAAGACATAAACTTGTAGATACTGTAGGTATTTTTTTGTTTTTCATTTTGTCACTCATTCATTAAACATGTACAGTAATTAAGGGGATTTTTTAAATTCTCATTTACGTTTCTCGGCGCTCTGATTGTTCCTTTTTTTTGCCCACTTGTAGCTTTTACATTCAGCTGAGCAAGTATTAGATTTCATATCATCAATTTGCTGAAATGGTTTTAAACAATGACTCCTAATTTGACCAATGCTTCTAAAAAGTCGTGATCGGACACTGCTAGGGTCTCAGGCGGCAGATCTCAACAGGTTTCAGGAGCAGAGAACAGCCAAGAGATCTGACAGAACACGCAGGTCCAGAGGAGAGACAGTCCTTAGACATGTGTGATACTCAGCCAGCACAGTCCGGTTAAAGAGCCACAGACTGTGACAGTTTCCTCTGCTTATCTAAAAGCTGTCTAATCATAGCAGAGTCTTCCCAGCTCCCCCCTGGTTATTCTCCATCTAACTCCTCGCCACTGACAGGATGTGATCAGAAATGGCCCTGGTGACATCACAGACTGCATCAAGTCCTCTCAGTTTTTATTCTACACACCACCATGGTTCCACTTAAAAGTGTTCCTGTATTCCAGCTTCCACGCAGCCCTGGTATGGTCACACGGGTGCATTCGTTTTGCAGAGAATAAGCTGCAGAAGAATGAAAAGGAGAGCCAGCTTTTCACGGTCTGTCCTCCATGGTGCCAGGACTGGGTGACGCGGAACAGGTGTGGAAGTACACAGAGTTCTTTACCAAGCACCGGGGAGGAATGGCGCCAAGGTCATTTGGGGACAACAAAATAGATAGATAAATAAATAAATAGACAGATAAATTCCGTCCTGTCAAAAGGCCAGATCATCTTCCTCACACACTCGACCTCGGAACACGCAGTTGACGTTCTAATGAGCGCAGCGTCAGGCTGCGGGTTCTGATCAACAACCCTCAAACCCACACCGTGTCCCCAACATTCCCACAAAGCTGTAATTTATGCCTGCATGCCCAACACGCACAGTAACTGAAATATTTCAGTGCAATGCCACGTGACAAGAAGTGGCGCACGTGTGCGCACCCCAGAAAAACATCATCACAATTCTCTCGGAAGGCAGCATCCCCTTAAAGCTCCGTCCATCCCTCTCCCGGAGTCCCGCTAAAGGCGAAACACCTCCAACTGTACCGCAAGAGAAGCTGTGCAGTTATGAAATAGTTCCTCAGATGTCACACACTGCATCGACTTTCTGTTATAGCGCAGATATTTTAGGGGGCTACAGCTGTTGGTCTGCACCGGTCCGCAGAGTCCGAGCCGGGTGAAGGAAAAGCCACTTTACCTGGTAGCACAGCATGGTCTGCGGCTCGTTGGTTGGACCGCTCATAGTTTCGGGGTTAAATTACTCAGCGATCCCGGAATGTAAAAGGTGAGACTTTCCCCCAGACCTACTGCCAGCCTCTTAGGACGCAGGGATAAGTAGTCACGAGTGAGCGTCTGTCAGTTCGGACATGATGGCTGTTGACATCTCTTTCAGACGGCGAAAAACGGTGAACTGGTTATTTTGCCCCTGTGTTGTGATGGTCTGTCCGCCGCACCTCCAGTTTCCCTCCCTCCTGTCCTGCCTGTGAGAGCAGGATGCGGAGAGCATCACTGCAGCCTCAGCCAATCACAGCACAGCGCAGAGGCACAGTCTGGGCTGCCAGCCTCTGCTGCTAACCGCTCCATCCACACAGCCTCCCAGTCTGTACAGCTGTACTATCTATCTATCTATCTATCTATCTATCTATCTATCTATCTATCTA